TACAAGCGTAGGCGACGCCTTCTGAGCAAAACTTTCAACTTCTGCGAAAGAAATATCAGGAAACTTGCTTGAATCTCTGGACTCCACACCTGTGAATATAAGAAAAATTATTCGAGTTCACCCTGAACAACGAGACTGCAATCAAATATGCTAGCATTTTTGTTGTGAGCGAGAAGCCTCCCTCCAGCAGAAACTCGGTCGTGATTCGGTCGAAAGAGCTTGGCTACCAGCAGTCGCCATATGATGCAAGGCTATTCTCCATGAAATTCAAACCAAACTATCACTCAATATTTTCAATCTAAAGGCTTAAATATCCGTGTAAGATAGCGATAAAGTGGAATGAATCACGGTGATTTTTCGGTAACGTTGCCGCCATAGCTATCACTTCAAATGAGACTGACCATGCTAAAAAATTCACGAGTCTGAAACTTGGCCTCTAGTGACTGATTTTAGTCGGAGACTAGTTCAGTTGTATGTAAAAATTTCAAAGAGATATCTTCCTGTTGTTTTCTCGTGACATCATAACAAACAAATGCCTTAAAAGACCTTTAGCCTTACCTTAGTATCCCCTCTGCCAACTCGCCCTTCATTAGTTGTCAAGGAAAGACTAAATGGCTTGCCCTCCAGTATGGCGTTGCCAAGGGAAAATTGGTCACGTGACAGTTTGTTGCAAAAGGCCTATTGAGTTTAAGTTGTGAGAAAAGAAATTACTTTCATTTTTCACCCAAACACCCACAGCACAAATTTTTTTGCAAAATAAAAAAATCTGGAGTACCCACTTGCTTTCCCTCAATGCTATACGGTAAGTGTAGAATTGAAAGAGACTACTGAACTTCCAAACAGGATTCTATCTTCTTTCGATTTTTCCTATAACTCCAAAATACCATTGCTATCTTGCCATCAGTACAATTTAAAATCTTTATTGTATTTTGACTGTGAATTGAATGGTGAATTGTAGAGTCATATTAAAGTCCAAATAACTCAGAAAGTGCTAGTTCAAGATTATTTCCCATTTAGTTTTTAAGTGAGACACCAAATTGGTATCAAGCATCAGCAAATTTAAGAAATTCAGACTAATCCAATTGTAGTACACAGAAAAAATCAGGCAACCATTTTGCATCTAGTTGTGTCGGCGGGCATCCGATTACATCCAGTGAAGATCATTGAGAGGCGTTCTGAAATACAAAACACTACAGTACTTCTGATTCTTGTTTTGTTGCCTTTCTTTTCTTTATCATTACTCCACAATATGAGGCACTTCATTCTTGGTTTCAATTGATTCAAAACCTTCCATTTTACCTACAGGTTTCTTTTTCTTTTTTTACCAACGAACTGTAGCCGGCGCAACTGAAAGAGTAGCCAGCGACATCGCCAGTCGTCAGCGCTTTTTGTTAACCCTGTATCAGACTGATAGTTCCAAGACATAAACACTCTATTTTCTTTATTGTTCACCACTACATTTCTTCCATGTTCCATTTGAAAACAGTCAAAACTCACTAAAATAATGCTGATCAATCAAGTATTTATTCATGCATAATGCCTGTCACAAATGTCAATAATTCATAACCATACATCAATGCTTATTAATAATGATATGTTGGACCTGTCAGAAATGAAAATAAAGTCACTGTTTTTCCAATCTGCCATTAAACCATTCAAAATTTTTCACAGATGAGAACTATCCATCCGGGTATTTTCCACAGACAGGCACTATGGGCTGATTTTAACCAATAGGAATCTGAGAAAATTTATAATTAGTGCTGAACTATACGGTAAAGTCTGTTTACAAGCCGAGTGGCCCATCAGGTCGGTGCTTAACTCCGGTTTCTGTAGCATGAAGCGACTAGGAGTATTTCTACTCCCCCCTAGATTGGATGCTAGTCCATTGCAGGGTTACCCCCCAGCATTAATTTTTCTGGTACCCATTTAAACACCTGGGTGAAGAGAGGCACTGTGAGAGTAAAGTGTCTTGCCTAAGAACACAACACAATGTCCCCGGCCGGGGCTCGAACCCGGACCACTCGATCTGGAGTCGAGCGCACCAACCATGAGGCCACTGTGCCTCCACAGATGAACACCATAGTGTCACGTGATCAATTTATTTAAACCAATAAGAATGTGAGAAAATTTGGTGGTGAACTATAAAGTGTAATATAATTTGGTCGTGAATTGAGGAAGGATAAATTTTATTACAAATCATTTTACAGTTAGAAATTGTTGTTGCGATTTTTGCTCTCTATTTGATTGGACTTCAGTTAAGGAAGGATTAAGTTTATTTGCAAGTCATTTCACAGTTAGGAATTGTTATTGTAATTTTTTATTTACATTTAATATTTGATTTGAGTTAAGAAAGGGTAAAGTTTATTACAAATCATTTCTCATTTAGGAATAGTTTCAGTTGTAATTTTTTCTTTCTAATAGATTGGAATTAATGAAACATTTAACAACATGAAGCTTATCATACAGAATTTATGTACAAGTATGATTTTAAAGCAAGAGTCTTTTTTGTAATATAGAGTAGTCTGGAGTAATTCTGATAATTATTACACCATAATTTATACTGGCCTTGTAATATTTTAGAATCTATCAGTTGTTACCTTGTTGACCGTTACTTATCGTGTTCAAAACTGCACTTTAATGAGGTTGTTCATAGATATATACGGGTGCAGGTGCAGATATGGTAATTACATGTATTGTGGATGGTGGGTGTGAATAATGAGGTGCAAGTGTTTAGGTGCTAATTACAATAGTTGTACAACACCCTCTCTCTCTTGGAAAGAGGACTGATAAATAAATGAATAAGTGTACTAATCAATTATAGTTCAGTTTATCTCGCTTGTGAGCCTACATGACATAGTCTTTGAACCTTGATGGCCGTTTGCGGGTCCTTTGTGAGCGGCGAAGTCTGCACTCATCTGCACTAGATTGCGCGCTTTCTGATTCCATGTGTGGACGGCGAAGTCCGCCTTCTTCTCGAGGTAGTCTGCTCTCTAGCTCCATTTGCTCAAGGTCAGCTGGTTGTCGTTCCTGCTCCTGTTCAGAGTGTGTGGATGCGATTTCAAGCTGGTCCATCCCGGTGGTGTGTCTTTCAGCTGGCTCCATTTTAGCCTCGGATTTGGGCATGGTTTCGTCAAATAGGTCCCATTGCCGTCTTGATCACGCAGGATCTCGATGTGGGTTGTTCGATCACCTCCCCGTAGATCCATCGCTGAGACTTGTTTGTTGGTCGTGGGTTGAGAAATACCTTTTCTCCTGGGGCAAATGGTTTCAGTGGGCCTGCTGCCCTCTTGTCGTAATGGGCTTTTGATTGGGCTCTCCTTTCTTCGATGTTTCTCATTACAACCTGACCTGATGCGGCTTGTGGGAGTAGCTGGCTTGCTGCTGTTGGGATGATGTCTCAAAGTTTCTGAGACATGAGTCGCTGTGCTGGTGAGTACTGGTATCCCTGTTGTGGCGTGTTTCGATAGGCCAGAAGAGCCAGATATGGGTCCTCAAAGCGGGATTTTTTCAGAATATTTTTCGCAATCTTGACTGCAGATTCGGCTTTGCCGTTTCCTCGACTGTGGTAGGGAGATGATCTAATGCTGGTGAATCCGTATTCACGTGCAAAGCGTGCGTATTCGTGGCTGACAAACTGCGGACCGTTATCTGTCACGCATTCGTCGGGAATGCCGNACACAGATGTCATCTGCGATGTTGATTACCCCATTCAATCCGTCCAGAAATTCATGTTGTCGCCGCTGATATTCTTCTGGTCCTGAGGCAATACCAAAGGGCATCCGATTGTAACAATAGCGACCATTTGGCCCCCGGAAAGTTGTTAGAAGGGAAGAGTCTTCATCCAGTTCAATAGTATGAAACGCCTCAGAAACATCAACGACGGTGAATACCTTGGCGTTTGTCAGAAGCGGTAGCCTCTCTTCGATTGTGGGTATGGTGTATTTGGGCCTTTTGATTGCCTTGTTTATGGTTTGGCTCGGATCGATGCAGATGCGAAGTTTGCCATTAGGTTTTTCCTTAACCAGCATATTGGACAGCCAATCGGTAGGTTGGGTTACCGGCCTTATAATTCCTTCTTCACAGAGCCTTTTCAGCTCTTCATTGACCCTGTTTAATTTTGCCACTGGAACACGGCGAGTGGGGGCATGAACGGGTGTGACTGACGGGTCCAAGTCGATGTGCATGGGGCTCCCAAGAGGCTTCCCGCGTCCTGGTTTAAAAACGTTGGGGTAGTGCTTTAGGATGTCCTCTGAAGTCAATTTGCCGAGTGCAGGCGGTTTCTGCGTATTTCGTGTGGTCTCCTCCTCGACCGCGTTTGTCTCGTCTGCATAGATGGTCAAATACTTTAAAGCCTGTGCGTCTCGTCCGCTAAGAAGTGGAGGCTTGTCGTCCGGAACGTTCACCACTAGGAAGTCAATTGTGTGGAATTTGCCCTTCCTTTCACACACGAGGGTTACTTGACCTTCTGGTTTCATTGTTTGGCTTCCGTAGGTGTTGATTCTGCTTTTCGTCTTTGAGATTTTCAAATTCGGGAATAGCTGGCTTAATACTGAACTTGGCATAGTGTTACAGGTCGACGCCGAGTCGATTTGAGCTTTAACAATTTTCGACCGCCTCCCATGGATGAGGTGTAGGTGAGCGAAGAATTTCTTTGCACCGACTGGCGCTGCCTGATCATTTATAACAAATGCCTCTTCATCAGGGTCATCATCAACAAAATTCGATTGCTGATGTCGTCTTCTACCAATTCTCGTTCCTCCTCTGCATGCACGAGCAAAATGGCCAATGATTCCACACTTGTTGCATCGTTTCCCGAACGCTGGACAATGCTGTTGACGAGGGCTGGGATGTTCACCGCAACACCAGAAGCAGGCCGCTGTTAAGGTGTCGGAGCTGCGGTATTCGGGTTTTGTCTTCTTTGTGAAGTTTACCTGCTCCTGCTGGTTGCCTCGGGCATTTTTCATTAACTGCTTTGCAAATGTGGTTGCCACGTGGCTTTTGGCTATTTCAACGACTTCTCGTAGAGTGACTTTTGATTGCGCTGCATCTCGATGCCTGTGGCCTTTCCCAATCAGTTTTATGCGGAGAGATTCAGATGTTAATCCCGTGATGAACTGATCTCTCATCAATTCATAGCAAAGTTTTCGTACTCGCACTGTGCAGCTTGATTGCAAATCCTTGTTTCCCAAGACGCGATGGATTCCTCTTCATTTTGTAGCAGGGAAAGGAATTTTTGCCTTTTGCCCGAGACCCCAATGCTAGTGCCGTAGTACTCTTTCGGAGCGTTGATAACGGTGTGCTGTTTGCTCTGATCTTGTTCAGACAATCCTAAACTGTATTTGTAGATCGCTCTGGCTGCCGGGGATAACGATGCTCGAAGACATGCCATCGCTTTCTCTAGTTTCGTCCACTTCGCTGCTTCTGTTTCCTTGGATGGATCGAACCAGTTTTGCATAATACAGTAGTCGACTAAGTCTTCGATGTAGACCTGCACATCGTGTTTATCATCCCCAGTTGTTTTGAATTGCAGGAAGGGAGTGTTTGGAGTGTTTGAGGCCATATCTCTCATCGACTTGAATCTTCTTGACTGTGAAATTAAGAGACAAGCACCGCTGCCACCATGTTGACCGTTACTTATTGTGTTCAAAACTGCACTTTAATGAGGTTGTCCACATATATATATATGGGTGCAGGTGCAGATATGGTAATTACATGTATTGTGGTTGGTGGTTGTGAATAACGAGGTGCAAGTGTTTAGTTGCTAATTACAATAGTTGTGCAACAACCTTATGGAAATACATGTATGTGATTTTTCTTTCAGTTTTCTAATTAAACAGATAAATTGTTTTTGACTTGATCCTCACTATTTGGCAGAATAGATATCATTTATTCCTTTTGTTTAGTTTGATCACTCACATTTTAATCAAACTCTTAATGTTTCATTTCATTGAGTCAATTTATTATAGTCACTGTGTATTTGTTTACCAAATTGACTGATGCAATTGGCTTTTACCTATATATACAAGTATAGTTTCTAAACTTATGTGATAAACATAAAATTGAATTGAGTTGTCTGCTTCTAGGCTTGTTTCAGGATGTTTTTGAATTTTATGAAAACAGATATTGCATTTTGTTTATATTTAATTTTTATTAATTAATATTGTAATAACTACAACTTCCTCTGATTAGACTTTTTCCTTTGGCTCAATCATGACATTTTTTTTTATTTGGTCCTTGTGTCTGGACAAACAGCAAACGGAAGCGAAGCACAGTTGGCTTATGAAAGGGCTTTGAAAGATGGATATGTAAAAGTTTACCGTGGTCGTATTATACTGCTTGGTCAAGATCGCGCTGGTAAAACCAGTTTGAAGAGGAGTCTCCTTGGCCTTCCATTTGACCCTAAAGAACAGAGTACCGAGGGGATTGAAATGGATCCTTCAAAGTGTGAAATTCATGTTGACCAAGCTGTAGGGAACTGGCAGTTCATTGGTGAGAATAAACCATTACTGTTGCAATGTTCTAAAGATGTGGCAAAGATTGTCGCAGATGAAATGATTGCTCAAGAGAGAATTTTTATGCCAGATAAAAGTTTAGAAGAAAAAAATCTATTAGAAAGATTTGGAGAAGATTCAGAAGAGGAAGATACAGAAGAAAGCTTAGGAGAAAAGGATACTGATAAAAAGGTGATTTAATTGACATTCTAAAATATTCTTTAGTACATTCTTTAGGCAGCTTTTATTGATACTGGCATTAATTGTTTAATGTCAAATGAAGATCATGTGAACCTTAATAAAAGTGGAACAAACAAGAAAAGGAGCTCTCCAAATTTTGGGAAGGATACACCCATTTGAATTATTTTAAGTGAAAATAAATTGGTCACATTTTCAAGGTTTGAATCAATTGGGGAAAAATTGAACGAATATAGTACACAGCACTGATAGTTTTTAACATTGTTAGCCATCAGTAACTACTGTATTCATCTTGTTGAAAGGGTTAACTTCCTTGATTATGCACACCAGTATTTTACCACAGGCAGAGAAGTGTCTGTGCTGAAGCGCTAATGAAGGCCAGCTCACAGACTATCATGCTGGTTACACCCTAAAGAATGTCTAAAGGCCAGCATCAACCCTTTGTTCGCACAACTACACTGTGGTTGTTTCCAATCTTATATGTGGCCATTTTTTCTTAATTTACAAAATGCTTATAGTTGACTCCATAATTGTACTTTACTAGGACTTTGATATGATATGGCCTCTCACCAGACTTGTTCAAACAATAATGAGACAGTTGAGAAGTCCCTCCTTTTTGGTGAAAACTGTTGCACAAGTGGAAAAAACAACAGTGACAGTAAAAAAACAAATTGATGTTAATACAGTGCACCTCACTCTCAAAGTTCTGTGCAGTGCACTAAACATAAATTTTTATCATTTATTTTATTTTTACTTGTACAATGGTCCTATCTAAAAAGCAGGGACTGTTTGTAGTCTTAACAGTAATTTCCTTCCCAGTATATGTATAGTCATTAATTTTTTTATCTAATTTATGGTAAACTTTGGCATACTTGTAGTTATTTTTAGATTGCTACTGTGTTTGCTGGTTAAACTGAATTACTGTCAGTGGTACTTACAACAAAGCATTTTACCTTATTAATGCTTCACTCAGGTTGAGGGTAAAGGAGATTACCCCTCAGTAGATGCTTTCCATGATAGTAGCAATGAAGACTCAATGGACTGCCTGTTAAACGAGCCTGATGTAGTTATTGATCTTACTCAACCTCCCGATACTGTGAAGCATGTTCATCAGTGGTTGGAGTATGTCCAGGGTAAACCCATCAAGAGTGCTTCATTCACAGAAGAATCCTCTATTACAATGGATATATGGGACTTTGCAGGGCAGCACCTGTACTATGCCAGTCATCCTATGTTCTTATCACAGCAAGCACTGTACATATTGGTGCACAATCTCAGGAAACCTTTGGATGCCCCAGCTGAGCCTTGCATCAGACAAGGAAGTAATGATGTGAAATTGGAAAACCTTAACAATGAAACAAACATGGAGAATTTGCTCTCCTGGCTGGCTACAGTACACAGTGTTGCCCAAGCAACTGATGATACAGATAATGATGCACAACACAAGCTGCCCTATCTCCGCCCCCCAGTGTTCATTGTTGGTACACATGCTGACAAACCAGTTGAAGACATAACAGTGATAAAGAAACAAATAAAAGAGAGAATTTCTGGTATGGAATATGGAAAGCATGTGATCAGACCCTTATTCTGCATTGACAACACTAAATCAAAGTGGCCAAACTTGATAGAAAAATTTATCAAGAAGATTGGAAAGCAGAGAGGAAAACTTAAAACAAGTAAGTTATTTGATTTCATTTTGTATCCTTAACCATTATAAGGTTACTTACAGTTATTGTTGACTTTATAATTGTATAATAGCTAGCCTGTCTTTGAGTCAATCAGAATTCCAAGAACACATGATTTAGTAGCAATTTTTGTATCCGAAAGCCCATTTGGCAGATGGTTGACAAGCATCGAACATACATTAATTATTATCAGACTCACATTTGTTACATGTAATTCAGCAGTTGTGTTGTACTGCTTCATTATAAGTTTAAATCCAATTAGATAGATACAAAGAACATTCTTAAGTGGGAGTTATAGAGGGATTAAAGGATACTGCCCTGATTGGATGAGTTAAAACATAGTGGAAGAAAGTCAGAGTTGTTTTTTTTTATATAACCTGTGCTCTACTTAGCTTTCAGCTACTTTATATCCTGAATATACTGGAGGTATCATATGGAGTCCTATATATTTTTGCTGATGGATCCATTAATTTAAGAGTATGGAATAAGGAACAGAAGACCTAAAATGTTGGGATCTGAAGAGATTTGTCAGTATGTTGTCAGCTGTAAAATCTCTGCCATCACACAAGTATAATACAAACTATGCTAATTGTAAGCACATGTTTCTGTGTTGTATTATATTGCTTTGAATTCCTTTTCTATCCTGCAGAGCAAGAAGGAAAAGTAGATGGTATAAATGAATTACAGAACACAATCCTGGAGGTGTTGAGGCAAGAGCCTTATATGGGAGAGAAAATACCAGTTAGGTAAATGATAAATGCGATTTATTTAGAAAAGCCCCAGTTCTTGTACTTGAGAATTAATTTTTTCCCTCAAATCAACCATGATTAAGTCTTCAAATGGTATACAGTGTATTTTGCATAATTTCGTGTGCATGCAGGTAAATAATAAAAAATATCCCTCCATGCACCACTAATTTCAATTGTGGGTACATCAAAATTTTCAAAACTATAGATTGCACAAATACACAGCAGTCAGTCACTTCAGTGCAGAAAAACAAATTGAAATTAATGTCATTGTGACAATCTTACGATTCTAAAAGATAAGAAGATGTGATTGATATTTGATTAGGCATAGCTTTTTGAATTGAAGTTGTTTAGTGCAAAACATAACCATGTCTGTTATACTCGAAAGTTGAAGACAGTACTAGGCAATACTGTATTAAAACTGGAGGACTTTAACTGCATGTTACATGTCTGAATGAATTTAAAACCCAATTTTTTGCCATAATACATTATAGGTATTCTGTTGCTTTCTAGGTGGTTTTTGTTTGAAAAGGTGATTGAAGCTTTGGTGGCTAAACAGATTTATCACAGAAATCTGAAACAACTCGAGCACTATGCAAGGAGAGATTGTTTCATGGAAGATGAAAAAGAGTTTGTCTCCATGATCAGTTTCTACCATGGCCTGGGGATGATAACCAAGCACCGCAATACAGTTGTACTGAAGGCTCAGTGGTTGATTGATCTGTTCAAGCAGCTGATAACCATACCACCTTTCAATAAACAGGTAGAAAATAAATTTTCATTTGAGAAAGGCTAACGTACTTGGAAATAGTGTTGTTCAATAATTAAGACTAACAAAAAACTAAGAGTGGTACTTTTTTCAGAGGAATAGGCAATTGGTGCAACAGCTGTGACTCGTTGATCTTAACAATCGCTGACCCCAAATTGCTTCTTGTACCTTTTGCAGCTTTTAGGTCGTTATAATTACAAGAGACTTGCATTGATATGCCTGTTATAGTCATAGAAGTGAAATGTTCTTTTTGCCATTGCTAATTTACTTTTGCGGTGGAAGATCAACTGGTAATCACCTCTGAGCAACCGAAGATAGAAAATTGCCCGATAACAGTTTAATTTCGGAACATCGATAGAAATAAACTTTTATCAATCTTTTCATATAGGTGGAGTGGCTTTCCCTTATCTGGAATTGCCTTTTTTTCGTATATCTTATAGAATCCCCTATGTGCTAAGTACTGGCAGGAACTTGAAGGAAGTGGCATCCTCAGCATGGAATATATTGATTATGTGTTCTCCAGCTTTATTGAACAAGGAATCATCAAAGAAGACATCCTAGACATGATGGAGCAATTTGGTTTGGTCGCTAAGTTCTCAGTTTCCCCAACTGATGTGAAGTACTTTGTACCAGCTCAGCTGAAGTCATCACCTGATAAACTCTGTAAGATGAAACCATCGTCAGCAGATCCCTGTCCATTGTATCTTCTCTTTGTCCATGGCTCTGTTCCTCATGGTCTCTTCTTACAGCTTGTCTCACGGTCCATTCGTTGGTGTTCAAAGACATGGCCCACGTATCAACCAACCCTGTACCAAAATGGAGCATGGTTCATCATTGGGAAAGATAGTCATCATTTTCTCCTCATATGCAAAACAGGATTTGTGAAGGTAATCTTGAGACAAAGAACACAAAGCCATCAGGTTGTAGGAGAGAACTCCGCCAAACTAGCAACTGTTGTTCGTGAATTTATCGAAGATACCCTAAAGAATTTGTCACAAGAACTGCCATACCGAAGGGGTTTGCAGTATAGGCTGTGTGTTGCATGTCCTTCCTGTCATCAAGGGGCAGAAGAACCACGTTTTGCATGCTCAGACCACGTGAAAACCACTTGCACACACGAGGAGTGTTTCCATCTCGTTGATGCAAATGAGGGCCAAGCGGAATTATGTAAAAGACAGTTTGGGGACATAGTACTTCATCCCGGTGGGTTGGAGAAGTGGTTCTTAAAAAGAAGACGCCAGGTATAGTCGATTAAAATGATATTTTAAGAGCAGATTTTCTAGCCTCTCATTCATCTTTGCAAGTTCTCACTTTTACTTTACTTGATCTAAGAATAAAATGGGCTTGAGAAAGATAGCCCAAATAATTTGCATCTAGTTTCAAATATAAGTCAGGGAATCTCTATCATGATGAAATTATTTGTGAAGTTCATACTTTTCTGTATTCTTTGGTTAAGTATTGATCAACATACATTTTTTAATAATTATGATCACACACATTTGTTATGTAATTGTAATAATTTTGTGCGACGTTTTTTCCTCAGGGTTTATCCTCTTCAAATGAAGCTGCCAGATCACATGGTGAGACAAGTGAGGTTGATCCATTAAAGTCTGAAACGGCATTGAAGGTGACCCTCTTGGGTCACCTTCAATGCCGCATATATGTCTGCAGTACCATTATGTATGCTATAATTATAATCTGTCTTTTGAGATGAGTCAAGTCCCTAAATTATGGAAACAGGCAAATATTACTCCCATTCACCTGGAATCCTCATACACAACGCAATATCAATAAATTGGAGGCAATTCAGAGGAGGGCAACTAAGTTTATTCTTAAATCTGATGAGGATTATGATGTTAGATTAAAGAAATTAAAAATACATAGTTTATTTCATAGAAGATATATCAGGGATATTGTTTTTTTATTCAATTTAATGAATAGGCATTATGATATGGATATTTCTGATAAGTTGCTTTTCTGTAAAGATCATAGTGTAGATTATAACTTAACGAACTATGATTCTCTTGACCTAGTTAGCATGTACAGTAGAACAAATATTTTTAATTATAGCTTTTTTATCCGTGTTGTGAATGAATGGAACAGTCTTCCAAATAATATAAAGGATTCTGCTAGTATTTCTAACCTTAAACATAAAGTTACTTCATTCCTTGGCAATACTTAGAATTTTTAGATTTGATTCAATGTAGTACTTAGATATCAAAATCTATACTATGATATCTGTTTTTTAATAGTATATCTTACTGGGGAGCATCCCTAGTATAGTGTCTAGGACGCTTTTGGATGCTGCCTCTCCATCATCATCATTTATTTATCCTGTTTATGTTTATGTCTATGTATTTATTTATGCATCTATTTAGTAATTTAATTTAATCTAGATTTGGAGAAACTGGAATGAATTGACACTGTTCACAAAAATAAATGTTCAGATGAAAAATTCTGCGAAATTCAATATAGATTAGAGCATGGTTTTGTTAAAAAATGGCTAAACTCTGGTTCAATAATTAACGGTTCTAGGGTTCTTTTTATAATTACACAGATATGTTAGAGTGGAAACCTTGCAGTAAATTTTTCTTCACTGCTTCTTATCTTTGATTATTGCTGTATTCGTTTACGCATAGAAAGTAACTTGATTTCAGTTTATCTCCTCAAGGCTAAGTTGTTGGACAAGACATCGGTTGTTTGGTGGTTGAAGCTCGTCTTTCCCTTTTGCTCTCTATGTTTCTCTTACCAAATTGGGAATTGTTATTTTCCAGCTTAAAACTGTTTTGCTTCTTTCATGCAGTTAGGTTAAAAAGAACTTTGCTCTTCTAGGTTCTCTTGACCGAATCATCCAGAAACTTCAGCAGATGCAAATCGATGCAAGTAAAGTCAAGAGGAGAAGAGATCTATCACTGGGGTTGCCGAAGATTGCATCAGACAAGGGCTTCAGAATTGTTGACAATGAAGGATCAGGAAATTGTATGTTCTATGCCTTGTCGGAACAACTGGAAATTGTTAAAGGAATCAAAATCCCACATGGCAGATTAAGACAAACCTTAGTCTATTACATCAGGGCAAACCCAACACTAGTAAGTTGGTGTTAGTATGTCTAACAGAGTGTGTCACATGATGTTCGTTTTCAAGAGTTTTAAAATGGTTAAGTGTTTACTGGTCAACTGGCCAACACCACTAGAGCCTATGCTGGTGTTCACGACGTGAAGAGACTAGGAGTACCCCTACTACTCCTGCATGGAGTGACGGTCTTTTAGTAGTCCGATAGCAGCTTGTATCCCTGGTGGAAAGAGGAACTGAAAGGTTCACCTTTATTATTTAACAAGTCACACAATGATGTTGGTTACTGTTTCAATTCATTTGTGTCTAAAGTAGCAGGCTCTCATGGGTTAAGTCATTTGAATATTTTAGATGCAGTTAAATGTAGTTTAATATAGTTAACAACATAGAGCATCAGCGTTCTCTATTAGACAGCAGTTTTTTGCATAGGTGCATGCGTCGGATTTCCATGTGCTCTTCGTCTGAGGTATTCTTGCGTGTGCTTTAAGCGTGTACTTGCAGTGTTCCTTGGCAATTTTCTTTGTGTGCTTTAAGCATGAAGTTGGAGCGGTGTGAGGAGTGGCAGTCCAATTTTTTCTTTCGAGCGGCTTAGGCGCTGTTTTCCTTCGTTTGTTTTCCTGGTGGTCTACTGCTTTCGTTTGCACGGATCAACTTTTGGGGTGTTCGACAAATAACAGCTCTACCGTCGTACACCTTATTTCAAAACGCTCGTTACTCGGTAGAAACTGGGGCGAGTTGCACGGAAACGAGGTCGAGGGGGCCAAAACTGAAAGCTTTTACAGTTTTACTAAGACGTTTCGGACAAAAGTAGCAACCTCTTAGCAAAGGGAAGAGAAAATGTGGCAAATACTTTGTATGGTCAGCATTTGCTAACCAAAGAGGATATTCGGGGAAGTTCTCTGGCCAAAAGAAAATCTTCACGCCGAATGAAAGTTTTCGCTACGCTGTGACGGTGAATCTTGCAAAGGACTATCAATAAAAGCCCAGCTCGTGAAAAGGTAAGACTTATCTATTTACCAGAAATGTTTGCCGTGAGAGCTAAACAGAATTAAGATTTTGATTCTTTCATTTCAAAGTGGAGGATTATGTAAGCAGAAGTTGGATCAAAATATTGTCGATCCTGAACCCGAGATGATTTTAACCCTTTGAATACGAAAAGGACCATATTTTTTTCAGTTGTAATTTGGCGTTACAAACTTAACCTCACTTTGTTGGTCCTTATATTACAATATTTGCGGTTTTTAGACACCATGGGCTCAGACCTTGGGGTCACATGACCTAGATCAACAGTTCGTGTTTGGATGCGTTCAAATCGACTCGGTTTCTCGCTTTTCTGGCCGTTTGTAAGTGTTTTTGGAGCCAGTTTTCCTCTACAGAAGCCCTCACGACGGCGTCATTAAGCTGGAATGGGGGTTGAGGCAAGCCTCTGAAGGAAAACAGAGGTGAGAGATGGTTTATTTATTTACTTATTTATTTATTTTATTTAATCTTTATTTAAACACGATCAATTCATCAGCCTATAAAAATACATATCACACA